TGTAATGAATCTTAAAGTGAATCATTTATTTTTAAATCTTATTCTCGCTACTTTCGAAAATTCGGCTCGTGTGCTTCGCACCGCATTTCGTAGTCGAGTGAAACTCGAATACCATCTAGTTATAAAAGAACTGTCATTTTCTGTTGAGAACTTTGTTAATAGTCAAGGAATCATTAAATTGCTCGGAAGCGAAAGCTTGAATTCTTATCCAAGTGAAATAATTAGACATTCGAACAAAGAAGACCTTAATATTTTGATTACTTTAGATTTTCTGTAGTTTCATTTGATTCCTTTTATAACTATAAGATAGCTTACAGATTAAGATGATATTTTTCAATCTCATATTTATCATTGCGCTGTGTAACCGACCTAGAAATCTGTTATTAAATTTCACGAATGAAACATTCCGATACATTTTTCTTATTTGGTAGTTTATTAGTCAGGCTATAATTACGCACTGGCTTTTTCCATTTTGTCTTAGTAGATTTCTCTTTTATTTTTCCATAAACATCATCTGGCTAATCCATCTGAAAATGCATAGGCATGACTTCTCTTTTATTTTGTTTTCTCGTTGTATTTAAGTACATCGCCTGCTAACATACAAAATTTCTACCTTTGTAAAATATTTTAAGATGCGTTTAATAATTGATACATCTTTTTCTTCATTAGGACGGTGATTTTTTTCTTTTTCTTTTGATTTAATTCTGATTTAAATAAAGTGCAGTGAGATCAAATGCTAACTAGATTGATGTTAGAAAGCTTTTTAAAACATACTCTTAGATAAAAAGTTCCTATGTGTATGTGTGTGTATATGTTTTTCTTGACATGATATTCAATATATTAAAGAAATTCTATAAAAGGTAAGCAGCTTTTATCTTCAATGTTTTGTCTTATAGCAGAAATTAGACTTTATTTTATTTCTCTAAAAATTACGAATCAATTTCTCTGAAGTTTTAACTTACTTGCATAACAGTCATTACCCAATCTTGACACATTTTGGGATGAAATGGCCGAAAACACCGGTTAAAATAATTACTAAACATATTTTCTTTGTGCATACTTTCTGGTGACTAGAAATGTTTACTTTAACTGAGACATTGTCATTCCAGTTGCTTCTTGAGAAAAAGCATAACGATAATGATTCTCTTGTACAGACTAGATTTTAAAATATCTGATCTATTTACCATAAAATATTTTAGCAAAAAAACTGTTACCAAATTTGTTAAATGTGTCGCACGATCAAAATCAAATTCTCGATACAGATTAAGTGATAAGCGCACGGCAGATGCATTGTGATTGTAAAAAACAAGCAATGGTTTTGTCCATGCGACAAGCCAATGTACACGTATATCGAACTTTCGACCTTTTATAAGTAATGGCCGGGAAATATATCTATGTCGATAATAATTAAAACATAATTCTAGGTCAATTTTATTAGTTAGTTATACGCTACTCTTGCATCAAATAACCAGGTAGTCTTGGTTGATATTGAATGCGATTGCCATTCCCAATTTGAAATTTAAAGATTGCATTTAAATCACTATTCACTGATATAACAAAGATTCCTCGACCAGCATAACTATAACGTGGTTTACATATCCACGTTCGATTGTGTTCTAGAAGATACATAAAATTTCATTAGAAAGGCTATTTTTAACTAAAAGATAATTAACAAATTAATATTCATATGAAATACTGTCCTATTCATTCGTTATAGATAGACACCAATCCCAATCTGACCAAATATTGAGCTATGTAAGAGAGACGCTGGTTACCGAACAGTTTACATGTCGAACAGGCTGCCAGTCTATCTATCGAATTATTGATCCCAATCAACACTGCGCAGTATGAATGAATATCTATTCTCTAAGGCATTAGTGCGACAAGGCTCAGTGAATATCATAGTCAATTCTTGTCGGTTATATTAAGGCATTGTTTGTTTTTTAAATATTTACAAATCTTAATTCATAATAGCATGTAAAGGTTTTCTAGTAGAGAGAATCCGATTGAGTGTTGACAAGTAAAGTAAAATTGCTATTGTTTTTCATGATAAAAATTTGAATGTAAAAAAAATGAAATAAACGAAAACAAAGGAATTATTTCTATGCATGAATTTCTGTTTTGTTAGTATTTGTCAAGTGTTTTGATAGGTTTTTTTATTGTTCGAATAAACCATCATGTAAAAACCTTTGGAAAACAATGTAATTTATATTATTGGATTTATGTATCTAAAACATAAGAAGTTAACAGAAAATAAACAACTCTCTATTAAATTGCATCGCATAGGCGTAAAACTGATTGGAAAGGCTTATTTTTTTTTCTAATATCTGAAATAGGGTTGACCTTATTATTAAAATCAGTTATATAGAAATAGACACACATAGAAGACGTATTTTCCTTATGTAATTTAGAAAAAAAAATAGACGCCTACTTTTATAGGAACGTAAAAATTCCACAACTTCGCTTTCATCATCAAGCACAAAAGTCATCGGAAGAAAAGTTTGTATATGATTTCCATCTGAATTACGTCTATTATGTAAATAATCTTTTATTGTATACCAAAGATTGATTTTATCCGAAAACGCTAGTTGACCAGGTATATTATTTATTAATTGTTTGCCTTCTTGAAATTGAGTCCAATCAACTTGATTTGCCAGACACCATTTCATAGTAAAATTAGTTATACTATGATCCCTGGTTCTAGACCAACCACGTTCTTCGAGTATTTCAGTAATTCTTTGTTGGAAAAAAAGAAGATGAAAATGTTAGGAATAAAAAATAATTCATTTTTTTCTCTTACACACGAGCTTTATCAGTACCAGCGAAGAAGATTAAATTTTCATTACTTTTTCTTCGATTGAACTCTCCTAATTGTAAAGTTTTTTTTATCATGACATCTTGGTGTTGTCCATCCGCTTTCTTTTCGCCACCACTCTGACCATTACTCATGATTGTTGAATTTTCATTATAAAATGTTAACATTTTGATGTTGTCATAGTAATTGAAATTAGACCATAAACAGTTTCATTCTTTTCTCTCTTTTTTGATTAAATATAAAAAATATGTTTAGTTTTTTGACGGCAACCAACTGTCATTCACCTAATTTCGAGTGTGGTACTTCGCGTTTTTAGTTTATATATGTAGGTGTATTTATTTCAAGTGTTGTTATTCAATGTTAATCATTTCGAAAAAGATTTTTTTCTCTTTTATTGTTTGAGTTGCGACAAAAGATAAGGAAAAGAAGCAGAAGAAAAGCAGAATTGTAAATTTGCTCGTTACTCCTATAGCTCAGCGCGTCATTTCTTTTTTCTTTCATGTGCCTTTGCTTACACGATGTGAGTGTATACTTGTTTATCCTGTTTTCTTTCATTTGTATTCGAAACGATAGCAAATGAATTACTCGGTCTATTATATTTAAACGGAAATATATATATATAGAAACACAATCAATTAAGAACTATTTACATAAAAATATATAATTTATCTTTTATTACAAAATGTGTACGTGATAAATAATACCCTATGAATAAACAAAAACAAAATTCAAAAAAAAACTTACTCTTCATTAGTTAGAAAGGCATCCCGTGAATATTTCATTCTTACTAATACTGAAAGAAGAACATAGAAATGCCATCAACAAACTCGATCTACTAATGCGTATTGGAATGTCTCGATGGAACAACCCCCAGTTCGACTTGTATGAAATTTCACAAACAATATGCATAGTAAATTCAGACAGAAATTAGCTGGTATTGTGAAAAGTTAACTGCAATAATTACTTTTTTGCGAACGGTCGTTCAGATTGTCATGTACTTAGCTACTTTCATCGACCATCATTGTCTTAGGTTCGCTAATTATTGACACTGATAAGTACTTTTATATAATTTATGCAGTTCTGCGAAATTAATAGCAAAAAAGATAGCTCACTCTCTAGTCAATTTGATTCTTGAATCGGATAATTTTATAAACTGCTATTCTCAAAAAAGAATATTGCCTGACAACAGGAGAGCGAGCGAGTGTTTTTCCGTTTTATTATGCTATTGTCTAATGAAAGAAGTGCCGCCAACATCGTGATAATCGTATAGCAGTGACATTGATCAAGTGTTGTTTTTCTTTTTAAAGAATTATTGTTGATCTCTTGAGAAAGACTTCAATATTTAATCATTTCCTTTTTGTTTTCATATCTTTCTACAAAAACATATGATATGGTGACGCGCTTCGAATTCATTTTAAATGTAAAAGACAACCATTAAGTTTGGTTGGTGTTATAGTTGATCACTAAAATACTATCTAAAATATGTATGAGAAATCATTGATTGCCTGCTTAAATTTTATGTCAAGTACAACTTTTCCGTTTTTAAAATTAGACTACATGATCAATTATCGCTAGGATTGTTTCAGCGTATGAGTATTTTTGATCACCAGAAAAAGAGACAATTGATCACCAAATTTATTTTGATTAAATAGATAGTGCATGTCAATATCGATTTAGTTAGATATGTGTAAGTCCGGTGAATGAACATCATTTGATGGTTACGTTGCACAGAAATCTTCATGTACAAAAATCCGAATTGTAATCGATTGAAATCTTCAAAATCAACGATAATTTGATTTTTAATCAAGCAACAATCTTAAAAATCAGACAAAAATTTTGATTAAAATCCGATAAAATCCATATTATACGACTTTAATCAAGCATATATGATTTTAATCAAAATTTTTGTCTGATTTTTAAGATTGTTGCTTGATTAAAAATCAAATTATCGTTGATTTTGAAGATTTCAATCGATTACAATTCGGATTTTTGTACAGGAAGATTCGATTATAATCTACTAAAATCTCCAATAATTTGATATTTTTTTCACTGAGAACATGAAGATTTCTGTGCAACGTAACCATCAAATGATGTTCATTCACCGGACTTACACATATCTAACTAAATCGATATTGACATGCACTATCTATTTAATCAAAATAAATTTTGGTGATCAATTGTCTCTTTTTTTGGTGATGAAAAGTATATTTTCGAAATTTTTAACGCTTGAACTTTCAAAGAGTAAATAAATACAAGAAAAATGTCAGTATAATATAGAAAATAGATGACTACATCATGAATTATTTCAATTTCTCTTTGGTGATAACAATTTGCATGATTGTATCTAAAAGTGTGAACCATAAATATATTTTATAATGAGTACTCTAGTATTATTATTGTAGTTTATTATTATCATAGTTGCGGAGTTACATGAAACTTATGCAATGAAACAAAGATATACGTATACTTCAATTCTAGTGGCATCAACTGTAAACTAGTACTACACCAGTTATTTTATATTTACATACTTGTTTAATTGGAGCATCAAAATCGTAGACTATTTTTGCCAGTACAGATAATCTTACAGATTTTCTTTTATGTCTTTAAGAAGATATTTTAGACTACTATTTTTAATTTCGTTACATTTCCTCCTCCTCCCCCCCCCTATATTAGCAAGCTGCTGAGTATTATCCGTCTTATGATAAAGGTGGATTGCCCAAATGCCATGTCTGAAGAGTTCCGATTGCATGTGTCTCGTTAAAAATAACCTATAAAAATAAGACTGTTCCACAAAATCTTTATTCTAATCAAATCTATTTAATAGCTATTGTTACCAAGATTTTCCGCATACTGCTACGATTCAAAACTGGCATATATTCCTAAAGGGTATAATCTAATGAATCAAAGAAAGAAAAAAAACCTGAAGATTTCTTTTATTTCTAGTTTTAGATAGTAAACAAAAAATGAGAAAAAAGAGAAATAGTGCTACGGGTAATATTTCGATTCTGTTTTTTTTAATTCACAGAAGTGCCCGACTTAGAAAACACTAGCACGTGAATAGAATGGTTCGATGGGGTTGTCTGCTAAGAAATAATAGTGAGAACATGCTTTTATTATAAATATTTATAAAGTCCCTGATGCACGAACCAATGTTCTTATTGCATGTCAATACTTCATATTATTCCAAGCTAGAAAGTAAAAATATCTATCTCATAATTATAAGCTACCATTACTAGGAATATATGTATATTGGCGAGTATGGAAATTCATTCGTTCCCCTTTGTCAATTGTAAAAAAGAGAACCATATGAAGAAGTTATGTTTAACATAAGTTTCACAAGTAGACAATTAGTTTTTTTTCTGGATATTCATTTATAAGAATTGTTTAATTTTTACCTAAGAAACTGTTGTCAATGTGTCTGAGTATCACGAGAAGAAACGTTTTTTTCCGCCTTGGCGTATTTTCAATCTTTCATGTTTACAGACCATCCTTAGTTTTTATAAAACTTTGGTTATTCTTAGTAAAATATTATCAAAATTAATTTGCTCAACAGGTCGAATAGTGGCGGCGCCATGGTAGGGCTAGGGAAAGTTGAGCCGTCTCAGATTTTTTTTAAATTCCCTAGTGAATTTAATTTTTTTCTGATATGAATATTTCAGAGTTTGGAACTGAACCCCCTCACATGCAAATTTCTGGCGCCGCCGCTAAGTTCGAGGTGATTGATGGCCTATTGCTCTACTCTAGTTAGATATTCAAAAAAAAACAGACTCGTCAATAATCGAGATTCATTTTAGATTAAGAAAATGAATAATTGATTGCAGAATAATTACCATTGATATCAAAACTAAAATGAAATTGTGACTAGATTTTTCTACAATATTAATCAACTGTAGTATATCCCAGGTCATAGTCTAGAAAAGTGTGAATTAACGAGATATTTTTCATATTTTATGTCATTCTAAACATATTGTTACAGCAGACATTTTAGGTTGTACTTATTAATTTTCAAAAACTCCTATAGACTATGCTATTCGAACAGAATTTCGATAGCATAGAGTTTAATTTATTATCTTTAAAAAAATGTGAAAATCCTGCGCCGAAAGCATTAGTCATATGAAATTCACCAGTAATGTTCAATATAAGTTCACTTTAACATCATTGAATTTCCAATCAGTTAGACATATACTGGTTCAATGCTCTCGACCTTAACACCATTCAGATGATGTTTTTCATGCTAAGATATTTTCATCTTATTATTGCGTTCGTTTAATTAAAAAACTATATAATTGAATTTGTTTTGAGAAATCCTCATTTTATGATAGTTGTTATATGAATTGCGTAAAACTGAGTACACTCGTTTCAATGATCCTATTAGTTTCGCAGTATATATACAAACTATCTTTCTAATTCCAAATTTTCTCTACTATTCCCTAGGAAATACAACAGTTCATTCGTATTAGGAAAAAATAAGTTCTTTACAAGTTAGTTTTTTTCTTCATTCAATTGTGACTAATCTGAAACTTGTGATCTATTTTTTTAACCTATAACAAATCCCGCTTATTAATGATCGTTTTTATTGTTGAAATCTTTGACTAGACAATAGCACGACTATTATAGTAATTTCCAAGTATGCAGTCAATTAAGTTCAACTGAATTTCGAGGAGAACGAACAAACTTAATTTTATGTAGAGTTATAATAAACTGTAAAAGTGAAAGTTGTCCTTTCAGCAATAATATCCTGTCATATTAGATGAGATTTAAAAATGTTTTTCTTTTTGTTGAGATAGCACGGAATAAAAGAATGAAAAAAGGCATTCATCTGTGCGTGACTAGTTGCATGCATGCCAATTAATAGAAAGTTAGTATCTTTTATCGTTGAGATAAAAGAACGCCCGCTTTCCAACTCGATTGAATGCGATCTATGAAATTTTTTAGAATATCTTGTATTATCTTCAACAAAATCTGTAGCAAGATCTATTGAAATGTTTTTGTCTGAAAGTTCTTATTTTTTTTCTCGTCTACTTCAGACGCATTTTTTTACTTGTAATAATTCTCTATTTTGTACTTAGAGAAACTGTGGAACATTGAGCTATTAACTTCAACATGAAGGAAATGTGTTTAGGTCTTTTGTGTGTTAAGATTTTAATGAAACTATTTCAACTGATCT